GATCACCAGTTGAGCAAGTTAAGTGCCTTCAGGTGTCACCTCCACAGAGCGACCATTCAACTCCAAGCTCTTGTTCCAAGAGTTCGGAAATCAAGCTGAAAAGCCCACCAAGTGGCCCAAAAACTTGTTAGTTCCTATTTCAGGACTTTAGAAGTTAGGACCTAAACTACTTAGAAATGCCAGTTGTTCTAACATGAAATTCCTGAAATTAACAGTTTCCTATTTATTTAAATATCTGAATGGAGGTACATACATAAGCAAAAGACAGGTTTATCCTTTTGGAAACGATGAATTTTTATTTGTTCTTCTTTCATCTGTGTTCACAATACAAACCTTCACTGCTAAAAACTGTCTTTAGTATAGAGTAATAAGTCTATTATTTAGTGAAGTTAAACAGAAATTCAAATAGGTTTGCTCCTTCTGTGGCTTGGATTTTTTTCATCTTGTAACATATACTAAATTTCAACCACACAGAGGTCAAAACACTGAACTGGACCATGACAAAAACTCAATGTAAATAGTTTAAGCCCATGCAGAGAAATTTCAAATTCAGCATGGCAAAAAAAGTCATATAAAGTTAAAAAAAAAGTCAAAGTTTAAGATAAACTGGGAAAAATATATATGACACTCATTGTTTATTATCTTTAATACATAAAGAGCTCTAAAAAGAAAGACAAGAATACAAGACAAAATACGAGAGAATACAGGCCAAAAACATGAACAGACAATTCAAAAGTACAAAACAATGGCCAATTAGCAGAAAAATAATGTAAAACTTAACAAAGAATATAAATAAAAAAGATACAAATTTTCCTTTTACAAATTCGCAAAGATTAAAAAGAATACCAACACTCACTGTTGGCTACACTGTATATTAACTTCAGATATTAACTGTAGAAATGTTAGGTGAATACAGTATTTCTGGGGGACAGTTTTACAACATTTATGTAAAAAGCCTTAAAATATGATTACCCTTTGACGCTCGAAATTCCACTATTAAAATTTTATCTTAGGGGGTGCCTGGGTGGCTCAGTGGGTTAAGCGACCAACTCTTGATTTCGGCTGAGGTCATGATCTTAGGGAAATGAGATCAAGCCCTGCATCAGGCTCAGAGTTCGGAGCCTGCTTAAAGAAGCTCTCAATCCCTCTCCCTGCCCACCACAGCCCCCATGTTCTCACTGGTTCTCTCTCTCTTAAAAAAAAAAAAAAAAAATTTATCTTTAGAATACTAAGTTTTAACTATAAAGATGTGTAAGAATAAAAATACAAAAGACTACATTGTAAGACAGTAATTATCTCTGAGTGTTTTTTTACTTCCTCTTTTATACATTTTTTAATATAGTCTGAATTTTTTCCACGAGGAGAAATTGTTTTCTTCAAAAATAGTTATTTTTAAGATTAAAACTAAGTATAATTCTGCATTAATCAGCCTTAAGTATTCTTTTCAAGGAATGTATAGGATTTGCAGGTGATGCAAATGAGGGTCTAACACTTGTGTAGGTGGTTAAGGGATATGTGCCACATTCTTTCAGAACTGACTTATGACCTGGGTTTCAGTCTGTTTTGACAGCCCTTTGAGAAAGTTTTTTTTTTCAAATCAACAAATGCTTTGATTTTTATCTCTTATATTCAGACTTTACATTGTGAATTGGGACCAAAAAATCTATTACAAATTCTACATGAACAAGTGAAAACACCGTGATAAGTAGAATACTCTGTACATCATAGTATATTGGAAGTAAGGGAAAAATATCTTTAAAGAACTTTTTCTGTTAGATTTCTCATAAAATTCCCCCCACAAATCTATAAATGTTTGAATGTCACTATCAATACTTTCTCCTTTTCTTGAACACTTTTTTCCCTTGGCTCTTAGGAGACCACATTCTTCTGGATACCCTTTTGGATCTCTTCTGCTGGCCTCTCCCCCTTTGCTTGACAGCTAACCGTGGGAGGACCAAGGACTCAGAGTAGCCTCGTCTCAAACTTCACCTTCCTCCAGGTGACCTCATCTAGTCCCATGGCTACCAACACTCCCTACTTAATTATCCTCTATCTATATAGCCAGCTCTGACCCCTCCTGGAGCTCAAGTCTCATCTAGGTATTTCAAATTTAATGTGACCAAAACAGACTCTATCTTCTCTTCCTCCACCCCAACCCTGCTCCTTCTTCAAGTTGCTCATGCCAAAACTTCAGGAATTAGCCTCAATTCCTCTTTTCCCCTCATACCCTACATCTAACTCATCAGCTTCTAAACTTCTAAACGTTTCCTGAAATAGTTTAAGTTCTTCCATTTCCAATACTAACCATTAGAACTGATCTCTCTGTTTTCAGTTTGAGTCCCTTCGGTCATTTCTCCAACTAAGTTTAAGAGTATATTTTAAAAAATATTAACTAAATTATGTCATTCCTCTGCTCTAGCTTCCCAGCGCTCATCTCGGCACACAGTCTTCACCCTAGCTTTCAGAAGCCTACTTAGAATGGCCCTGGGCTACTTCTCTGGCTGCATTCCCTATCGCCCTCTCCTTTGCTCACCAGGCTCCACCTTACTGACCTTCACCTGTTACAGATTGAATCTTTGTGTCTCTCCCTGCGCCCCACCCCCATTCCTATGTGGAAGCCCTAACCCAGTGTGACTGTATGTGAAGACAGGGCCTGGGAAGAGATGATAAGGGTTAAATGAGGTCCTAAGAGTAGGGCCCTAATCCAATAGGGCCAGTTCCCTCATAAGAAGAGGAAGACATACCAGACCTCTCCCCCCACACGTACAGAGAAGGGGACATGTGAGGACACAGTGAGAGGGTGGTCATCTGCAAGGCAGGAAGAAAGTCCTCTGCAGGAACTGAATCAGCCAGCACCTTATCCTGGACTCCCCGACCACCACAATTACAAGAAAGAAGTTTCTGTTGTTTCAGCCACCCAGTCTGTGGTATTTTATGATGGCAGCCTGAGCAGACTACTACACTACTGAGCTCATTAACGGCTTCAGAGCCTTTGCCTTGGCTTAGAATGCTCTTCCTTGATCTCAGACAGTTGGTTCCTTCTTCTCATTCAGATATTGGCTTAAATTTCACCTTTCCAGAGAGGATGATCCCAACTGTTCAATCTAAAGTAGCCACACAATTACCCTCTATTTTAATTTTCTATAGACAAGTTACCACTATTATCTACTTTCAACTAACCATCCTTTGAAGGATATTTTAAATCCTAGGCCAGTTTTCCTAGGTAGTTTTTATTACTCATCAAGTTCTGGGGCTGCAATGTTTTACATTACCTTCATAAAAACAAGATGAAGACAGTAACTTAACTACAAAATCATACACACACACGTGTATATATATGACGTATTTGAATAAACTCTATATAAATGTTGCCCTTTCACATCTGAAATGTATCGAATAAACTCTATATAAATGTTGCCCTTTCACATCTGAAATGTATCGAATAAACTCTATATAAATGTTGCCCTTTCACATTTTACTTAGTACCATTATAATACTGCTTAAAAACTAGCCTCCATTTTGGGGTGCCTGGGTGGCTCAGTCGGTTAAGCCTTCTGCTCTTGGTTTTGGCTCAGGTTGTGATCTCGGGGTCGTGGGACTGAGCCCTGCATCAGGCTCCACGGAGCCTGCTTGAGATTCTCTCTCTCCCCCTCTTCCTCCGCCCCTCCCCCCACTCTCATGTGCTTGCTTGCTCTCTCACACTCTTTCAAATAAATAAATAAGTAAATAAATATCTTAGAAAAGAAACTAGCCTGCATTTTATGATACAACTCAGGCACAGAGAAGAGTAAAAAAAAAAAACAAAAAACAAAACTGTTTTCTAAATTCCCACATGTTATGCAGAATGATACATTTAACTTCTTGGGTCCTAGTACACAATTCCCTATTTCATGCTTTTAAAAGTAGATGGTACCTTAAAAGAAAATTTTAAGAAGACTTTATTGTTAGTGGTGGTCCTTTTCTTGTCCACAGAACAGTGACGATCTATGTATTGGGTAGATATTTCAAAGACACTAATGTTAAATTTTCTTTCACATTCAAAATATATAATCTAGCCTATAAGCCCTGCTGCTTATCTTGGCTTATAATTTCCTTTTTCATGAATTAGTTTATTTTTTTATTTTTTAAAGATTTTTTTTTATTTATTCATTTGACAGAGAGAGACACAGCGAGAGAGGGAACACAAGCAGGGGGAGTGGGAGAGGGAGAAGCAGGCTTCCCGCAGAGCAGGGAGCCCGATGTGGGACTCGATCCCAGGACTCTGGGATCATGACCTGAGCCGAAGGCAGACACTTAACAAGTGAGCCACCCAGGCGCCCTTCATGAATTAGTTTAAATAAAACTTTTGGCATCCCTTCCTGGTAAAGAGGACTAGACTACCAATGTTTCTCCCTAGCTTTGAACTACATAGTTTACATTAATGTAATCATATTTAAAATCATCCTCTAGACAAAAACATTCTAGACAGGTTATTTTCTGAGAAAAAAAGACCTTCTGTGCACAGAGTCTCCGGCTCTTTCAATCACTGATGACTTACCTTCTGCAGGCCTTCATGAATGAGGTGACCTATGTCATCTATACTTCTTCCTAGTCGTTTAGATAAATATGTGAAGACTGGATCTTCTTTAGGTAATAGAGGTGCAGAAAGATTAACTCTCTCTTGTACACCCTGAAGAGAAGAAGAAAAAAATTGAAAAAAACAAAACCACATACACAGAAAAAAGAGATCACAAGACAAAAGGTCACAAGTAACTCAGTATCTTATAGCACTTATTTTAAAGGAGTTTTAAGAAATAGGATATGTTTGTAAAATTATAAAGCTGTTTAGAAGGGGAGAAGAAAAAATATTTATAAGAGACTAAATTACAGAAAAAAATGTAAAAAAAAAAAAAATCCCAAATCTCTCTACTTACTCGCAGGTGTTGAAAAGCATGTATACTATATGGAAGTTCTAGAATTTTGGTACAATCAGGTTGCTCAGGGTCTGGAGGGACGGGAGATTCTGTGTCTATATAATCTTCAGGGCTAAAATCAAGAAGCCGGGAGCAATAAATGAATGAAAGGTGAAAAAATGTCTTAATTTTTCCCTAACTGAACTATATTCTCATAGCATCTCATCTTTACAACCAGTATTAGTCATCATTCAACCCTTTTCACGCAGCAACTGTTGGGAGGCAATATTTTGGGAGTTTAACTTAAACGAGATAAATCAAGAGACAGAAAACAGTAGGTAGACCAAAGAACGTTACGATTATGAGCTTTTTAAAAGTTTTTTTAATATTCTTCCCAGAAATGTTAAACCAATTTACACTTCTGTTGACAGCCTCTCCACATTTTTACCAGTTACTGATTTTTAAATATTTTTCCCCATTTGATAGGTGAAAACTATCTAAATGGTTTATTTTGTACTTATTTGATCATTACTGAGAGAGAGGTTTTCCACATGTTTATTGGCCATTTGTATTTCTTTTACTATAAATTGTTCAATCTTCTGTGGTATTAAGTATTTTTAATTGATATTTAAGAATTCTACGTGTAGTGTATTTTGAACTTTCAAATTTCGATAAACTCATCTGTGATTGAAGCTTATCCTCATTAGATAAATAATTTCTTATTGACTTGAGAAAGGTCTATTCAAGAAAATGTTAATTTTATTTCTGGAAAGAGAATTTCTTTACCTGATGTCTTTGCTTTCCAAAGTTATGTATGTGCCATCATACAGATCCAGGTCCCCTAAGGGCACTTTGGCTTTGATGCAGTCTGGATCTTCTTTATTATGTCTCTGTTCCAGTCCTGTATCTCTGTCCTCATTCTCTTCTATATGAATTTTTTGAGCAACTAATTGCTTCTGTTAAGAAGACAATGAGAACACAATGGATTTTTCTAATATCTGTCTAAATACCACGTAAGAGAAAGGAGAATTTAAAATCCTCTATATGAAGGAAGACAAGGATTCTGAACAAAGTAGTCCCCCCTTAACTGTAAGGGCATCTTCCAAGACTCCCAGTGGATGCCCGAAACCACGGATAGTACCAAACCCTATATATATTGTATTTTTCCCTATACATATATACCTATAATGAAGTTTAATTTATAAATTAAGCACAGTAAGAGATTAACAATAACTAATTATAAAATAGAACAATTACAACACTATACTGTAATAAAAGTTATGTAAATAAAAGAATGGGGTCTCTCTCAAAATATCTTAGTGTACTTTACTTATCCTTCTTGTGATAATGTGATATAATAAAATGCCTACATGATAAGATGAAATGAAGTGCATGACGTAGGCATCATGACATAGTGTTAGACCATTATTGACCTTCTGACGATAGATCAGAAGGATTATCTGCTTCTGGACCACAGGTGACCCATGGGTTACTGAAACCACAGAATGCAAAACTGTGGATAAGGGGGAGTTAATTAGTTGATATAAATAAGCTTCTCTAAACAAGTGTCCATATACAGAAAGTAACAGTATATGACATTTATGATAATGGCAGCTGAATACTTTCATAATAGGATCTCTGACTACCTATAAACTGCATCTATCAACTTAACTTCCCTGGAACAGAATGGCTCAGCAATTAAAACCACCTTGAATTGTCCACACATCATATTTCAGTCCTTCAAGACATCCAGCATGTTGGGCGCCTGGGTGGCTCAGTCGTTAAGTGTCTGCCTTCAGGCCAGGTCATGATCCCAGGGTCCTGGGATCAAGCCCCACACTGGGCTCCCTGCTCTGCAGGAAGCCTGCTTCTCCCTCTCCCACTCCCCCTGCTTGTGTTCCCTCTCTTACTGTTTGTCTCTCTGTCAATAAATAAAATCTTAAAAAAAAAAAAAAAAAGACATCCAGCATGTTGATACTGTGGACTGGAATAATTTCCCCTAATGCCCTGTATTCCAGGTGAATTCCTGCTACTCACAATTTTGTTTCTTCAAACATATAGAGGAATTACATAAAAACCTAAGTTTCTACCACCCACCCACATCTATCATATGATAACATTTGCCATACTCATTTCAGATTTTTTAAAAAGGAAAAATAAGGTAGTCGAAACCTTTCTTTACTGCCTTCAAAATCCCTCTCTCCCTTCCCAAAGTTACCACTATCCTGAATTTGTTTGATGTATCACTTCTGTGTATATCTTTATAAAATATTACTATATTATTCTTATTCTCTTAAAATATTTTATATATATGTCCCAAATCAACATCTAGCATTGCTTTCCAAGCTTAAAAACTTTATGTAAACAGTATCACCCTATATCATTCTACAACTTATTTTTTAACCTTATTATGTTTTTAGTATTTATCTACAGTAATCAGTATAGCTCTAAATTTTTCATTTTAACAGATGAATAAAAATGTATTTATCCATTTTTCTATAAACCTTTAGGTTGCTTTTTTATCTTTTTGCTATTAAAAATGCTGTGATATTCTTATAAAAGCCTCCTTGTGCACATGTGTAAAAGACCCAGAAGGGGTAAAAATATGGGATGCAGGGGACATATGGGATACACATTTTCTGATTTAGACACTGTCAATCTGTTTTTTAAAGTTGTTATAACCACTAGGATTCTACCAACAGATTATCATAATACCCATATCCCCACAAACTTACCAACATCACATTTTTAGTTTATGTCAATTTGATGGGCATTAAATGTTATGATTATTGGAGTAGACTGTATTACTATTCATGAATCTGCTGCAACTCCTTACAAAGGAGTCAACACATCACTGTTCTGCTTAACTCAGATGTGGCCAGTATGACTTACTTTGACAAATGTAACATGAGATGTGCCACTGAATCCTCTGAAGGGAAACATTTTTTAGAGCCAGTGTATGCTTTACTGCGCTCTTTCTTTTCCCTCAGATACTGAGAATGGCAATATGCCTGACAGTGGCTGTTCTGTCAGCCTGGGTTCTGGCATTTGAACCAGAGTGACAATTAATATGACCTTATTGTTTTAAGCCATGAAGATTACTGGGATGTTACTAAATGATGTTTCGACTTACCCATTCCCTCCTCTTTTCCTGTAGATAGGCTATACTATATACTGCCCTATGACGTCAGGCTTGCCCATGTGACTTGATCTGGACAATGCAATGTGAGTAGAAATGATGTCACTTCTAAGTAGAAACTTTAAACAGTCTTCTATGTTTGGTTACTCTTCCTTGAGCCTCCACCTTCCTCCATGAAACAGCACTGAGATTTTTGGGACTGTTTGTTGCCAATGCAAAGTTGTCATCCACTACAAAATGTAGCCATCTTAACTAATGCAATCATTAATGTGACTGAACATATTTTCATATGTTTATGAGATATTTTGTAACTTGACCTTCCAAGTCTGCCTATTTTTCCCCCTTTTTTTTTTATTGATTTGTAGATATTTATGAAGAGTGATTCTGTAAACTCATTCTTTATCAGTTATAGGTACTGCAAATATCTTCTCCTGGCTTAAAGCTTATGTTTTAATTTTGTTCATGGTGTCACTTGCTAAAGAGAAACTTTTAGTCTTAAGATGGTCAAAACTATCAGTTGTTTTCTTAATTGTGATTTCTACGTTATTTGAGGAATCCTTCCCTACCCTAATGTCATAAATGAAATATTTACTGATGAAAAACTTAACAAAGTAATAAGGTAAGGGCAAGCACTAGAATAACAGAAATGTAATCTATAGTTCTAATCCTTGTAATTTATTTGTTAAACAAGTTGTGTCATTTGTTCTGCAGAGTCTGCCACTATAGGATTTTGTTGATTGCATCTCCTAGGTTCATTTAATGCGTCCCTTTCTTTGTCCTCTGTATTTCCTGAATATTGATAGCAGAATCCAGGGGTTCTTAACCCTTTCGTGTCATAGACTTCTTTGGCAGTCTAATGAAACCTGTAGACCCCTTTCTCAGAGTCGTCTTTTAAATACATAAAAAAAAATAGAGAGAATGACAAAGGAAATCAATTATACTGAAAATACTACTTGAAAGGTAGCAATACTCTTAAATTTTTAGTATGTTTGCCCATAAATTTTCCAACAGGATTTTAATTTATTCAGTTAGTTTTACCTTCTCCTAAACATGACAGAAGAGTCTAACAGGCTTTAACTAATCACTGAACATGCTTCATCCCAATTACCTAGCTTTACCTTTCAAAGTGCAAAAAATAAGTAAGTTTAGCAACTTCTTCATCAGTATTTTCACTCATTATACATCCTGTGCATATCTACTGGGTTTACTTTTCTTCTTGTAGAAGTACATCTTTGATTTTTCTTAAAAGTGAGAGTTTGCAGTAAGTAAACTCTTTGTCAGAAAACATCTTTGTTTTGCCCTCACTCTTGAATGATGGCTTATAAGAACATAAAATTCTAGTTTGATTGATTTTCCCTTAGCACTCTGAGGCTACTCCTCCACTGTCTTCTGATACTTTAAGAAGTCCATCTAGTTGTCACTACTTTGTAGATAAATGGTATTATTTAGTTTCATGGCTTTAAGTCTGTATTTCAATGTCTAACAAATACATATCTGCAGCCTGTACCTTTACACCAGAGTCCCCACTACCTTAATCAAAACCTGATGGAATCAACACTTTTCATTTTCGTTTTCATTGACATGGTGAATGGCATTTTCCCCTTTCATATACTCTTATTTAAGTCTCTTTATATTACATAATACTGCCTCTTAAAACAAGAATGGCAATAAACATATACAATACGTATATGCATCTGAAAATAAAAACTCTTTTCTGCACCACTGCATTTTTTGAACACTGTGGTTAAATAAAAACAGATAAAGCTTCCAAGCATGAAGCAGTATAAATATACCTATTGTCTTACTCCTACTTTTTCAGATAACTGATATTGTTTGTTATTAAGCAAAATCAGTTTATGGAAATCAATGATAGAAACAAAAAGGTCACACTTTATTAGTATGAACAGATTTCAAGTTTTCAAAGTGCAAAGTGATTAATGCTTTCACCTCATCATAAAAAAACACACAATAACAAGACCCTGCTCGGGAATTAATAAAAAAATACATTCTTTTACAGAGTATTGAAACCATTCTTCCTTTTTGTATTTTACCCAAACTCTCCTTCTAAACATATGCAGAGAGATTATTCCCTTTCATACTTGATGGAGAAACTTATACATGGAATCCCTGTTCGAGGATATAGTCAGTCAAGAATCAGGCAAAACCCAGGGTAGTCCGTTTCTCTTACTATTGCTCAAATGTCATTCCAATTAAATGTTACTTTTAAAAATGTGATTAAAAGTATATATGAAACTGAGAAGAATAGGGCTTAAGAAATAATGCGCTTTCATTTTTCTTTGAATATAACAGCTCCTGTGAAATGCAACAAGTTTCACCTGCATATCACATTCCCATTGCCTCACCTCCAATTCTTTGAGGTAGTTAACTGTTGTTTCTTGTCTCATTAATATGACTAAGTCATGGGGATGCTTCAAGTTCATTGGTGAATCCACCTGCAAGCAAGCAAGCAAGCAATAAACAAAGCTCAGATTTCATCAACACTTGTTTGGATTCATGAAGTTTCCTTTAATATGCTTTAAATTACTGTTCAACCACCATTATAATCAGTGTTAGGTGCTCAGTAAAACTCAAGGGGTATTTCAAAAGCGATCGCACATAAATTTCAGCAAAGAGAATGACATGTTCAATAGCTGCCCCTTCAATTCCAACATTAAAGAGTAAGCTTTTGAAGCTAATATTCTAACTTGGTCAGTCATATAAGAAATATTCAAGAAGAGAAGTATTTGGCAACAAATGATAAAGTAAATTCCTTAAAAAGATAATTCACACCTGTAATAATAAAAAAGGAATTGTCTTGTCTTGACAGAACATTCCATATCTGAACAGGTTTAGAGTGATAAAAGGAAAATACTAAAAGCACCTATTTTTGAAGGCTATTTGTGGAAGCCATAAATCAAAGTTAATATAAAATAATCTTGAGATTTATTATTTACAACTCATGTTCTCTGGATCATAAACGGGTGACTATGTTGTTGAAGATGTAGGAAAAATGAACCCTCATATGCAGGCTTATAAATTTGTTCTTGTTGCCTAAAGGGTCATTTGACAGCATGTATCAAAATGTTAAAAGTGCATACCTTTTGATATGGCAATATTAACTCTAGGAAACTATCCTACAGACATTGTTAAACAAGTAGGCAAAAATAAACACAAAGACGCTTACTACAACCCTTTTAGCTGCAAAAAAAATTAAACACAACCTAAGTCCATCAATAAGGAACCAGGGAGGGGCGCTTGGGTGGCTCAGTTGGTTAAGCTTCTCCTGACTTTTATTCTCAGCTCAGGGTCATTATCTCAGGGTCATGAGTTCGAGCCCTGCATTGGGCTCAACTGGGTGTGGAACATACTAAAAATAAAAAATAAGGGAAGAGGGAAATCCACTGTCTAAAATGGGATACAGAAAGACTAGATCTACTGTCATGGAAGGATGTTCACAATGTATAATTAACTAAAAATAAAGAATAATAAGTATACTATGATATTTTGTTTAAGAAATTACATATATATATTTATAGATATAGATATATACATGTCTCTATATGCACAAAACTAAGTAACTTTATAGTGGTTTCTTTTGGGAAGTGGGATTAAGGAGAGAGGCACACTCACGTCTATATACTGGTATTTTTTAAACTGTTTATAATGTAGACATAATATATATATAATAAAGAAAAACAACACACATGTGCACATACACACATGGTTTCTGAATTTCAGAAAACTCTGACAGTCGCCTTGGTACCTAAGGGATGAGATAAAGTTTCTGCTATCCCATGGTGCTAGACTGGAGCTGTCAAATTATATACCAGCCCTTCAGGAAGTTCCACTTTGAGGAAAAACTATCTTTTTGGAACCTCTAAGAAACTGGTATCAACTCAATTAATCAAATTAAGGGCTAGCTTTTTTTTTTTTAAGATTTTATTTAATTTGTTTTTTTTTTTTGAGAGAGAAAGAAAGAGTGAGCATGTGTGGGTGAGTTGGGGGAGGGGCAGAGGGAGAGAGAGAATCTCCAGTGGACTCCATGCTGAGCACAGAGCCCTACCCAGGGCTCAATCTCATGACCCTGAGATCATGACCTGGCTTAACCATCTGAGCCACTCAGGTGCCCCTAGAGCTAGCCTTTTAAGTGCAGAAGGTAGGCTTGCATAGATCTTGGTGATAAAAGAGTCTATTAAAAAGAAGATTTTAAAGAGAGGAAATAATAACAACATGAAATAAAGTTGGACAGTTGCTTTAATAATATACATTAAATTGGACAATGTTAAGTGACTACAGATAAAACTCATCTCAGAGACACCAGAGGAAAAAGAGATGCTAGTCTAGAGTAACTTCCATACTTTCACTGCAATTATCTGAACTACATAATTATTACTGTACAGTTGTGGATAATTATCATCGCCCGTGGTCTTGGCTTTTAAGATGAGATCCCTCCACTGCTCCCCCTGGCCTTCCCACTATATTGGAATCTGTATCAAAACTGGACTCTGAATTTAAAAGGTACTAAAAATACAATAGCAAGGCCTATAGTACTTGACCGCCTGAGCTGTAACTCTCCTCTACCAAACAATCAAAGCTAGCAAAAGCCTACAAGCAAAACGCTGGGTTTATCTCAGTAAGAAACAGAAAATTTTCTCTTTTCATAGTATTTGAACATATGCCCAACAGTCAAAGGCATGTAGGGCAGGGAAAGCTACTATAATGGATTGAATATGGACTAATTTAACTCCAAAGCCCAATGATCTTTTTTACAACAATGTAATAAATTACAGCACACCATAATTTTTATAGAAGAAAATGTAAAAGCTACAGCCAGTGGCCAGACTGCAAAAGAACTTTTCATAAGGAGGCCAAAGAAAGTCGGCTTACTTTGCTACTTTGTCCAGAACTTCAAGAGGTAGCTATTTAGTACAAGACTCTATAAGGATTTTTAAATGAGGTTTTTAGGGGAAAAACAAAACAAAACAAAAAACGAGATGGAGGAGGAATGAGGGAGTATGACATTCTAATTCCAAAATACCTAAACAATCTGTTCAGCTGATATTTGGAGAACTGCAAGAGGAATGAAAGAAAGAGATAAATGAAGATTCACACTGAAGAAATACTGAAAGCACACTCTTAGTTTTAGATTAGAAGGATACTAGCTAATCAGGACTTTCTCATATCTGAATAGCATGGGATTGGCCAACATTCAATTGTGAGGAAGTACTTTTCATTTCCTTGAAGCTTTAAGTTCAACAAAGATATAAGAGCTAGAGGAGGTATAAAGGTAAAATTATTAGCAGAAGGAAGCGAGCCCACTGACAGCTGTGCTTCTCTTTTAGACATGGCAGCAAATGGCATGGATCTTTGCCAGACAAAGGTTGGTTGCAGATTTATAGCCTGACATGTATTTTTATTGAGGTAACCTCAAGTTCTTAAAAGTTAAGATTTCATAATTATCTTTGGCAATGCCAACCGGCTTGAATTTCTCTCCTTTTGAATACCTCCCCTCCTTAGGTTACAAAAAAGAGTATGCCTGTAAAGACCACAACATACATTCAGCCAATGAAGGTTTATTAAGCCTCTATAAACCAGGCCCACTATGTCAATATTTGAAGCCTATGTACTCCAATTTTATACACAATGTGAATGCCTTCAAAATCTTTAGCATTTAGAAGAGGCTGCTATCAGCCCAGGAGCAAAAAGTGACAGGAATTAGAGTGGTAGGTTAAAAAGGACATGACATACACATAAGACCTCAAAGCACCTTGTGGCTTTTTCACAAGGGACAAGCAATCCTACAAACGTCTGTTACTTCACAGCATAATAAATGATACTTGTAATGACCTGAATCATAAAGAAAAAGGAATTATTTTCAATTTGTTCTACTTAAGATGGTGAAAAAGTATGAAATATATTTTAGAGCAAAGTTCATACTGCAGGGAAAAGCTGACCGAATATTTGGAAATTAGCTATATGGAATTGTATTATATAGAATGATTCATTCTCTAAGAGTTCTCAATTCAATTTCATCTTTCTCTGAATACATTATGTAAGTGCATGTGTCCAATTATATATAACAGCAGTAAATATCTTACTAATATCAAGTTCATTTTCATGTATTTCAAAATTTGCTGCTGTCTCTTTCATTAACACCTACATTTCTAATCTGGAGCCCTACCTCTGTGAATTCAGTAAATTCACATGGTAACAGGGAAAAGTCACTATATAAGGATAATTACTTCACTGCCAAATCAAATAAAGGGTGAATACTTTAAACTTAAAATAACCAGTCTAAGGGTATAAACATTTTTGAGTTCTACAAAGGCATGAGCGAGTCCATCACTTTCCACTGGTCCTTTATGACAGGAAATTGATCATTTCCATTATAATATTAATTCCAGCTCTCATATGCAACTTATTCTTCACATATGCTGAACATTCGTACCTCTTACTTTTTGATGGTATTCAAACGAGTACACGAGAGCAGCATTATTGAAATCTTATACTACACCGTACCCGTTTTTAAAAAATTCCCTTTAATTAGAAACTAGGGATGGAATATTTTAAATCTTTTATTCAGAATTTTGGATTATTTACTGAGACAGTATGATGGAAAACATAAATAAAAATCTTCAAAGCAATGAAGATTTTACCTCTACTTTAAGTGATCCCACTTAGTAGGTATTTGTAGTGTTTGCTATCTCGTATCTGCAATTCCCTTCTTGGGGCAAAAACACCTGCCTCGCTTGGCTGGAAGCATCCTTCCCCACATGGGAAGCCCTAGTCAGTGAATTCCTTTCCCTTGGTCATGGTGATTATCTCCGAGAAGGGTTATCAACCAAGCGGTCGGTTGGCACTAAAGAGACTGTAATCTAGAACTTCTGTTTGAGTTATGGGGACCAGTCATCTTGTATGGGGTTAAAGAAATGGAGAAGTGAAGACAGAGAACAAACCTATCATGGTTATACTGTTTCAGCCATGGATCAAACTCTATCTGCAGCACTTAGAATATGTTCAAACATTCCAATAAAAATTTTCAATACAGAAGTCTTGATGCTATTTCTCAACATCTGCTGAATTTTCTTGGGCCCTCTGCCTAGGGTATCCTCTTACTCTGGTGGCTCTTTTCAGACCTTCCCTTGCACATGCTAATTCCCCTACTTGGAACACTCCTACTTGGAACTCCTACTTGGAACATAATCTTATGCTTTTGGTGAAAGCCAAATGACTGGGCTCAAATGACATTTCTTTTGTGAAGCCACCCTTCTCCTGAGCTCCCATGGTACTCTTCACATACTTCTTTAATAGTGTTTATTATATTGTTTAATTATTGTATGTCTGTCTCTCCAAAAAAA